CTCTTCTCTTACCAAGGAAAACAGTCTCAGTTGGAAGGGTCTGAGGCAAGTTGAAGTTTTCAGTCAAGAGGAGATGACAGAGGTGTGTTCAACAGGGCAGGGAGACGCAGGGCCAGTGTTGAGTGGAGCCTGATGCCTGGAGATGATTTGTGTAGTTTTCAGGGAGCTGGCATGCCTCCCAAAGCTTCACCTGTGGTAATTTCCTGCCAAATCCTACACCGCGTTAGTAAAAGGGTGATTTGTGAGCTGTTAGAATGGGGGCTTCCGCGTGTTCGCTGAGAGGCCATCAGGGCAGACTCATCCCATCTCCCACGGGGCAGGGGGGTGTCTTTGATGAAGTGCACGTTTGCTCCAGCACGGTTTTTGACAAAGATGCTCGTGAGACGCATGTGAACAAGTTGGAGAATTGCAGTCTCGATGACGTAATTGCAAAACTTTCTGGATATGTTTATACTCATTTATACTTAGAGCGTGTGCTGATGGAATGAAGGGCCTGACCTCTCTGGGTTGTTTTCCTTTTTTTAAAAAAAGCTTATTTATTTTTTGAGAGAGATACAGTGTGAGTGGAGGAGGGGCAGAGAGAGGGAGACAGAGACAGAGAGAATCCCAAGCATGCTCCACACTGTCAGCACAGAGCCCCACGTAGGACTCTAACCCAGGAACCACGAGAACATGATCTCAGCCAAAATCAAGAGTCAGACACTCAACCTACTGAGCCACCCATGTGCCCCCAGATCGTTTTCTTTTTCATCTCCTTTCTTCCCTAAGTGTCTGAGCTTGGGCAGATCGCTAAACTTCTCTGGCCTTTCAACATTATGTAAAAAAATGCCTCAATCTATGTATGACTACATGAATAATTCGTTCATGTATGCCTAGAGGGATATAATTTACCTCTGAGTTCTGTCCTTGATTCTGTTTGACATTTTTTGTGATTGACTTAGATAATGGCAAGTTTCTAGATGATGCAAAGAGGTGGGAAAGCATATGAATGAGTTCTGGCCCCAGAATCGAACAATCTTGGATATGAACCTTGGGTCTGTCACTTCCCGATTGGATATTGAGCAAGTCTCTTAACTTCACTAGCTTTGATTTTCTTTTCCCTTAAATGAGAACGATAGTAACAACAACAACAATCACAAAAGACTTCGTGTAAAGACAAAACTACTATAGAAGATACTACATGAAACACATTTAGTTAATGAATCCTCCACTAACCATTAGCTGTTCATGTTATATTATTACTAAGCTGAGAACAGGAACGTTGGATAACATATCATGTTTCAGAATTACTGTAGGGTGAAACCAGGAGCTACTACCGAGAATCGAAAAGGCTTATGAACAATCCGGCATCTGGGATTCACTAATCCACTGCATGCGAACAGAATGGGAATGACCTGGTTTAAGAGCAGCTCCTGTCAAAAGCCTTTTAGGGGCTTTAGGTGACTGCTAGCTCAGAATGAATTGATGTGGCATGGCATCCAAGAAAGCGGATGTCTTCGGCTGGGTGAATGGGAGGGCAAAAGAAGCTACAGTTGAACAGTATTCTCACCCTAGTAAGGGACAGCATGCCCACAGAGCTGTGCTCAGTTCTGCCCTTGTGTTTTTAACAAATGTTTATTTATTTATTGAGAGAGAGAGCACGAATGGGGGCAGAGCAGAGAGAGAGAGAGAGAGAGAGAGAGAGAGAGAGAGAGAGGGAGGGAGAGGGAGAATCCTAAGCAGGCTCCACGCTGCCAGAGCAGAGCCCAGTGCGGGGCTCGATCCCACGAACTGGGAGATCTTTACCTGGGCCCAAATCAAGAGTTGGATGCTCATCCGGCTGAGCCACCCGGGTGCCCTGCTCGTCTGTTTTTTACTGAAGAAGTAAGGTAGGAAGCTAGACTACCTGAGTTCAAATCCTTGCTCAATGAACTCGGGCAAGATATTTGATCTCTCTGTGCCTCCGTTTTCTCATCTGTAAAATGGGAATAATAAAACTTGTACTTATCTCATAGGGCTGCTGTGAGGAGTCCATGGGATGTAAAAGTAAATATGTCATGCTTCCAAAGGTGTCTGGCTCATAGTAACTGCCAGTCTAAGAAGGACATTGTCAGTGTCCCAACATGACACGGTCAGAATGGTGAGGGGTGCAGAATCAGTGTGACAGGCAGAATAGTGAATGGATTATCCTCCTCTTATCCCCTCACCTCCTGTCCCAAACACATATGCCACTCCCTTGATATAGGCAGGGCTTCACAGGTTTGGACTCTTGCCTAAATTGGAATGCTCAAACTCACACCCTATCAGGTCTCTAGCACCAGACATTAGAGATCATTTAGTTTAGGGCCCTCATTTAAAATATGCTCAAGGTCAAGTAGGAAGTTGAGAGCCGAGGTCCTCAAGCCCATGTCCTCTGCTTGTTTCACTCCCCACCTGCCTCCTTCCCTCCATCTGCTTGTCAAAGTCTGGCAAGCCCCAGCTCAACTCCCACCTCTTCTTAGAAGTCTTTTTTCAGATCCCCCAAGGTGAACTGGTCTACACTTTCCCCATAGCTACACCATGGCAAGCTCTGAACATTTTTTATCATACTTACCAGACTTCTTGGTATTAGAGTTCACCATCCATGCTTCTGTCTTCGCCCGGTTTGCCTGAAGAACAAAGACACAATTTACTCACTTCGCATGTGCACTGTGCTCTGCTTACATCAAGGCCATCATGAAACGCTCATTGACTTGATTATTAAGGTTGTGTAATGTGGACCATTTATCCTAGAAGAGAGAACATTTAGCAGAATGGAACTGGGCCTCATGGGGAGGAAGGATTAGATTTAGCTACCCTGTTCCAGAGAACAGAACTAGAGCAAGCAGTAGAAGTCACCAGGGGGCAGATCTGATCTGTTTGGTTGGAGAGAATCCTTCACAGGACAGGCATTTATTTATTTATTTATTTATTTATTTATTTATTTATTTATTTATTTAAGTTTATTCATTTTGAGAGAGAGAGAGAGAGAGAGAGAGAGAGAGAGAGAGAGAGAGAGAGAATGCACTGGGGAGGGGCAGAGAGAGAGGGAGAGAGAGAATCCCAAGCAGGAATCCCAAGAGAGCCCGGCAGGGGGCTCGATCTCATGAAACAGGAGATCATGAGCTGAGCTGAAACCAAGAGCTGGACACTTAACCGACTGAGCCACCCATGTGCCCCATGACAATCCTTGAATAAGGAGATGGGTGTCTCCTGAGAAGTGAGATTCCATCAGTGAAATTGTTCAAGCAGAAGCGTCATGACCAACGTCGGGGATGAGGAAGACAGGAATATAGGATACATCCCTGAGATTCCCCGTTGGCTGTGTTTCAACATCATAAAGATCTTGGTGCCATGTTAGGGTTCACGTGTAGTCACAGACACAGTATTATGAGGGGTGCACTAACAGGTTTGAGACCGAGTCCGGCAGACCTGGGCCCCGGTACAGCTGGGTCTCAGCTTGGCTCTCACCAGTCCAGTGTGCAGAAGGGACGGTACCTCCACAAAAAGCCAGCCCCTTTCCCCACTCCCTGTGTTGCTTGCCATATCCCCTCCCTCACCTTTCCCCGTTCTGCTCATTTCTGTCCTGTGCACCTGCAAGGTCAGCTTCATGCTGAATTTTACTACAGTGAAAAGTCCTGAGTGTCTCACGGTTGTGTGCTGAAACCTCTCAGCTTAGCCTCGGGGTGTAGTGTTATATTCAAACCTTTTCGAGCATTTCCACATAAAGGCCCTGAATCCATCTTTCCTAGGCTCTTGGCCTTGGAGCTATAGTTTTTCTATTTCTTCTGGCCATTCCATTCCATTTTCAAAGTATGGGTCTAGCTATTACTTTTCTGGCTGGGTCCCAGGTAGACTTTTGTAAGCTTCCAGCCACAACCTTTCCATTTTCATGGGCTTGTCACCATCAAGTAGGTACCCCTCTGGTATTGCTCTCAGGATCCCGTTTTCCCCATTTTGGGGGCTCCCGTCTAAGACTTCTCCCCAACCGCTGCATACCCAGGTATTGATTGTGATCTCCCATTGACCCCTCTCCCCCAAGGTCTACCTAGTTTTCTTTACAACACAGTTTGGCTTCCTACCCACGGCCCTGAGTTCCTCTGGCATCTGGCCTTGTTCGTAAGGTTCTCGCTCAGAGGGTTAAGGTCAGTAGAATATCCACCATTCATCAGCCTGATACGTTTGCAATCTCCAAAGTATCTACCTTCATAACGTTCATTTCTAGGTAATATCAAACTTAAGAGTGGGTTCTAGGGGCGCCTGGGTGGCGCGGTCGGTTAAGCGTCCGACTTCAGCCAGGTCACGATCTCGCGGTCCGTGAGTTCGAGCCCCGAGTCAGGCTCTGGGCTGATGGCTCAGAGCCTGGAGCCTGTTTCCGATTCTGTGTCTCCCTCTCTCTCTGCCCCTCCCCCATTCATGCTCTGTCTCTCTCTGTCCCAAAAATAAATAAACGTTGAAAAAAAAAATTAAAAAAAAAAAAAAGAAAAAAAAAGAGTGGGTTCTATTTCAAAATTTCATTTGTTTTTTTATTTTAATATTTTTATTTATTATTTATTTATTTATTTATTTATTTATTTAGAGAGCATGTAAACACGGGGAGGGGCAGAGGGAGAGAGAGAGAGAGAGAGAGAGAGAGAGAGAATCCCAAACAGGCTCCCTGCTCAGTGTGAAGCCGGATGTGGGGCTTCATCTGATGACCCTGGGATTATGACCTGAGCCAAAATCAAGAGTCAGATGCTCAACCCAGGTGCCTCTCAAAATTTCATGTGTAAAGAACTTGTTTAGAACTCACATTTTTTCCTTGCCGCAATGTTCTTCATGGTGGTTAGTTTTGCCAGGCCAGTCCAGGAGAACCCATCTAACCTTCAGGATTAGGCTGGACCGCCAGGACCACAGAATGATTAGGAGTAATAATAGGTGAACAGAATACAGTCATGGAATAGAACAGTGTTTCTATGGGGAAATATTTTCAGAGTTCTAACTAAGAATGCTGGGATTCCTTTAACTGCCTACAGTTTGCACCCTTAGTAAAAGAAAACAAAGCCACTACAATTTAGGGAGGGGTTACTCTGCACCAGGTGGGGTAAACTCATTATGTGAGTTATATGGTTTCATCCTCATGTCAACACTGATGGAGAGTGGTGTCGGTACTGCTATTAATCCACCTTTTGAAGATGAGGGAATGGAGGCCAAAAGAACTGATCTCAGTGACTTTGGACAGGGATTCTGGTAAAATAAAATCTGGTGAGTGCTAGGAAAGGCACAGGGATTCCAGAGGACGGAAGGGGTGAGAAGAGAATCAGGTGGGGCGACAGAGGGAATAAAGGTTGGGTCAGGGCTGGGGAAGGTGGAGGCAAGTGGCTGTGGACATGACAGGCAGATTGGCTCCGTGTAGGATGGTTATAGACAATATATATTCTCTTCCCCTGTGACGTGTCTTTGGCAGACCCTGTTGGAAGGTGCTTGAAACAACAGAGAATAGCCACGGTCTGCCTATGAGAAGGAAGAGTGGCAATAGGTAGTTTCAGTCCTGGAGGAGATCCAGCATGATGTGGGGGAGCCCTTCAAGGCCCCAGCTGTTCATTGCCCCCTGTGCCCGTGTGCCTATGACTTTGTGCCCTCCCTTCAAGACTAGGATGCTCTGCCTTGTCCTTCGATTCTGGGCTAAGTTGTGTACCTTGCTTCAACCCTTACAATATGAAAGTCAGGACTGAAGCCCAGGCTTGGGGCACTTTTGTCCATTAGAGCTTGCTTTCTCGTACACACTGCATAGTAGCCATGACGACATGTCCAGGCCCGCCTGATGAGGCTGAGAGATACATGGAATGGAGTCCCAGCTGACCCAGAGGGATCCTGCCTTGATCAGCTAAACCCCACACATGAGCGAGGCCAGCTAAGATCAACAGAGCCACCTGGTCTATATCAGCTGAACCTTGCAGACTTCTGAAAAATAAGTGGTTTTTTTAAATTAAACAAATCAAACTTTTAATTTTGAAATCCATGTAGATTTACATGCACTTGTAAGAAATAAAGATCCCATAAAAAAAAAAGATCCCATGCACCCTTTATCCAGTTTTCCTCAATGGTAACATCATGCAAAATTATAGTACAGTGTCATAACCAGGATAGTGACATTGGTAGAGTCAAGATACAAAATACTTGCATCAGCATAAGGATCCCTCATGTTGCTATTTATGACTACATTCCCTTCCCTCTTGCTCCCACCCTCTCCGTAACCCCTGGAAACCCCCAATCTATCCTCTGTTTCTATTATTTTGTCATTTCAAGGATGTTATATGAATGAAATCATATAGGATGTAACCATTTGGAATTGGCTTTTTTTTTTTCCACTGCATAATTCACTGGAGATATATACCTATGTTATCACATCTGTCAATAGTTTATTACCTTTTACTGCTGAGTAAAGTGTTCCAAGGTATGGATGTACTACATTTGTTTAACCCTTCATCCATTGAAGGACATCTGGGTTGTTTCTAGTTTGGAGCTGTCATGAATAAAGCTGCTACAAACATCGGTGTACTATTTTTGTGTAAATGTAAGTCTTCATGTCTCTGAGATAAATGCTCAGGTGCTCAATTTCTGGGTCATAATGGCAGTTGCATGATTAGTTAAAAAAAAAAAAAAGACCCTGCCAAATCCTACCCTTTTACATTACCACCAGCAATGTATTGGTGACCCATTTTCTCTGCATCTTTGTCAGGATTTGGTGTTTATTGTCGCTACTTTTTATGCTTGCCAATTCTGGTAGGTAGGTCATGACTTCTTATAGTGGTTTCAGTGTGTATTTCACGGATGAGGCTGAGAGATACATGGAATGGAGTCCCAGCTGACACAGAGGGACCCAGCCTTGATCAGCTAAACCCCACACATAGGGAGGCCAGCCAAGATCAACAGAGCCACCTGGTCTATACTAGCTGAACCTTGCAGACTTCTGAAAAATAAGTGGCTAATAATGAAGAACATCTTTTCATGTGCTTATTTGTCACCCGTATATCTGCTCTGGTGAAATGTCTCTTTGTGTGTTTTGTCTGTGTTCTAACTGGATTGTTTGCTTTTTTTAGTGTTGAATTTTGAGAGTTCTTGATATATTCTAGATACTCATCTGGTTTTCACATATTTCTCTCCTACTCTGTACCTTGTCTTGTTATCTTCACAAGGTCTTCCACAGAGCAAATGTTTTAAATTTCGATGAAGTCCAATTTATTAGTTTTACCTTTTTTGGATCATGTTTTGGGTGCCAAGGCTAAGATCTCTGCCTAGTTCTAGATCCCGAACATTTTCTCCTACTTTTTCTAAATGTTTTACAGTTTTACATTTTACATTTAAGTCTGCGATCCATTTTGAGTTCATTTTTGTATAAGGGGTGAGATTTAGGTTGAGGTTCATTTTCTGATCATGGCTGTACAATTACTCCAGCACCATTTGCTGAAAAGGCTATCTTTTCTCCACTGAGTTGCTTTTGCACATTGTCAAAAATCAGTTTGGCATATTTGTGTGTATCTATTTCTGGTTTCTCCAGTGTGTTCTATTGATCTATGGGTCTATCACTCCACCAATACCATACAATCTTGATTACTATGGATTAATTCCTTCCACTTTTTTCTTCTTTTTTTTTTTTTCTTTTAGAAAGAGAGAGTACAAGTGGAGGAGAGGGGCAGAGAGAGAGAATCTTAAGTAGGCTCTATACTCAGCATGGAGCCCGATGCACGGCTTGATCCCATAACACTGGCATCATGACCCAAGCCGAGATCAAGAGTTGGATGCTCAACCAACTGAGCCACCTAGGCACCTCTTTTTCTTCTTTTTAGCTATTCTAGTTCCTTGCCTGTCCATTTAAGTTGTAGAATAACTGCCTATATCTATAAAAAAATCTTGCCGCGATTTTGATAGGACATGCATTGTATCTGGAAATCGATTTAGGGAAAATTGACATGTATTCTTATCCATATTCTATATTCCGTTTATGTTTATCTATCTTGATCTATATTAGCTATATCTTATCACTATCTACTTATGTTCATTTATCTTTATCTACATATCTATATTTCATCTATATTGAATCTTCTAGGGGCTCCTGGGTGGCTCAGTCGGTTAAGCGTCCGACTTCGGCTCAGGTCATGATCTCACAGTCTGTGAGTTCGAGCCCTGCGTCGGGCTCTGGGCTGATGGCTGGGAGCCTGGAGCCTGCTTCCGATTCTGTGTCTCCCTCTCTCTCTGCCCCTCCCCTGTTCATGCTCTGTCTCTCTCCGTCTCAAAAATAAATAAACATTAAAAATATATATATATTGAATCTTCTAGTCCATGAACACACTATGTCTCTCCATTCAGATTTAAAAAATTTCTTTCATCAGCATTTCAGCATAAAAGTCCTGGGTATGTTTTGGTAGATTTACATCTAAGTGTTTCATTATTTTTGGGGTGATTGGCAAATGGTTATAAATATAAAATGGTTATAAATATAAAATGGTTATAAAATATAAAAATTGTATTTTTAGTTTTGGTGTCCACATGTCCACTGCTAGTATACAGACATAAAATTGGTTTTTGTATGCTTGTCTTATATCTTGCATCTTAGCTGAACTTAGTACTAGGAGTTTTTGATTTTTTTTTCTTTTTGCTTTGTTTTCTTTTTTCCTGTTGCACAGGCTAACACTTCCAGCACCATGTTGAATAAGAGTGGTGAGGGGCGCCTGGGTGGCGCAGTCGGTTAAGCGTCCGACTTCAGCCAGGTCACGATCTCGCGGTCCGTGAGTTCGAGCCCCGCGTCGGGCTCTGGGCTGATGGCTCAGAGCCTGGAGCCTGTTTCTGATTCTGTGTCTCCCTCTCTCTCTACCCCTCCCCTGTTCATGCTCTGTCTCTCTCTGTCCCAAAAAATAAATAAATGTTGAAAAAAAAAATTTAATTAAAAAAAAGAGTGGTGAGAGTGGATATCTTTGTATTATTGCTGATCTGGGGGTGGGGGAAGCATTCAGCCTTTCACCATTAAGTATAATGTTGCTGTAAGCTTTTGGTAGATGTTCTTACCAAATTGAGGAATTTCCCTTCTATTCATATTTTTCTGAAAATTTTTACCATGCATAGATGTTGAAATTTGTCCAATGTCTTTTCTGCATCAATTTATACGATCATGTAATTTTTCTTCAATAGCTTGTTCATATTATACTGATTAATTTTTGAATATTGAAATGGCCTTCCATCCCTGGAATAAACCCCATTTGGTCATGGTGTATAATTCTTTTTATGTGTTGCTAAATTCCATTAGATAATATATATTTTTTAAGGATTTTATATCTATAATCAAGAGGGATATTGGTCTGTAGTTTTCTGGTTTTCTGCCTTTGTCTGTTTTTGGTATAAATCAAGCAAATTGGGAAATATTTCTTCCTCTTCTATATTCTGAAGAGACTGTGTAGAATTGGCATTAATTCTTCAAACATTTAGTAGAATTGTCTAGTGAAACCATCTGGGCCTGGAGATTTCTTTCTTTCTTTTAAGTTTATTTATTTATTTTGAGAGAGAGAATGCTAAGGGGAAAGAGAGAGAGGGAGAGAGATAGAACCCCATGCAGGCTCTGCACCATCAGCACGGAGCCTGATGTGGGGTTTGAACCCATGAACTGTGAGATCACGACCTGAGCCAAAACCCAGAGTCAGACGGCTAACCAACTGAACCACCCAGGCCCCCCATGAGATTTCTTTCTTTTGAGTTTTAAAATTATGAATTCAACTTCCTTATAGTTATGTGGTTATTCACATGGCTTATTTCATTTTGAGTGAGTTGTGGTGGTGTGTGTGTGTGTATGTGTGTGTGCTTAGGAATTGGTCTATTTCATCAAAGTTGTTAAATTTATGAATATAGAATTGTTTGTCGAATTATCTTATTATCCTTTTGATGTCTACAGGAGCTATAGTGATATCTCCTATTTTATTCCCAATATTGTTAATTTGTGTCTTCTCCCTCTTTTTCTTTGTTAGTCTTGTTAGAAGTTAGTCAATTTCATTCTTCTTTTCAAAGAACCAACTCTTGATTTTCTCTATTGTTTTAAATTTCATTGATTTTTGTCCTTATCATTATTTTTAATTTAATTTTTTATTTTTTTAAATTTATATCCAAATTAGCATATAGTGCAACAATGATTTCAGGAGTAGATTCCTTAGTGCCCCTTACCCATTTAGCCCATCCCCCCTCCCACAACCCCTCCCGTAACCCTCAGTTTGTTCTCCATATTTATGAGTCTCTTCTGTTTTGGCCCCCTCCCTGTTTTTATATTATTTTTGTTTCCCTTCCCTTATGTTCATCCGTTTTGTCTCTTAAAGTCCTCATATGAGTGAAGTCATATGATTTTTGTCTTTCTCTGACTAATTTCACTTAGCATAATACCTTCCAGTTCCATCAATGTAGTTGCAAATGGCAAGATTTCATTCTTTTTGATTGCTGAGTAATACTCCATCATATATCTTTATCCGTTCATCCATCAATGGACATTTGGGTTCTTTCCATACTTTGGTTAATGTTGATAGTGCTGCTATAAATATTGGGGTGCATGTGTCCCTTTGAAACAGCACACCTGTATCCCTTGGATATATGCCTAGTAGTGCAATTGCTGGGTCGTAGGGTAGTTCTATTTTTAGTTTTTTGAGGAACCTCCATCCACACTGTTTTCCAGAGTGGCTGCACCAGCTTGTATTCCCACCAACAATGCAAAAGATATCCTCTTTCTCCACATCCTCGCCAACATCTGTTGTTGCCTGAGTTGTTAATGTTAGCCATTCTGACGGGTGTAAGGTGGTATCTCATCGTGGTTTTGATTTGTATTTCTCTGATGATGAGTGATGTGGAGCATTTTTTCATGTGTAGGTTGGCCATATGGATGGCTTCTTTGGAGAAGTGTCTATTCGTGTCTTTTGCCCATTTCTTCACTGGATTATTTGTTTTTTTTTTGTGTGTTGATTTGATAAGTTCTTTATAGATTTTGGATAGTAACCCTTTATCTGATATGTCATTTGCAAATATCTTCTCCCATTCTGTCGGTTGCCTTTTAGTTTTACTGATTGTTTCCTTTGCTGTGCAGAAGCTTTTTATTTTGATGAGGTCCCAGTAGTTCATTTTTGCTTTTGTTTCCGTTGCCTCTGGAGACATGTTGCATAAGAAGTTGCTGTGGCCAAGATCAAAGAGGTTTTTTCCTGCTTTCTCCTCGAGGATTTTGATGGCTTCCTGTCTTACATTTAGGTCTTTCATGCATTTTGAGTTTATTTTTGTGTCTGGTGTAAGAAAGTGGCCCAGGTTCATTCTTTGGCATG